CTGAACTCTGCCGATTACAAAAACAATAAGAAAGAAACAAAATTAACATGCCACAAAATTAACACGCCATTGTTTTTCCTGCTGGGACATAAATCATTGTATCTTTCTTATTCCGTATGTATCAACACAGCAAGATGGCTATTGTCTTGTCATGTACAGGGGTGGACTGACCATTTGGAAACTCTGGCACTGCCCGAGGGCCCGGGGTCAGTAGGGGGCCCCATGAGATGCCCCTGGTACCTTTTTCATAGGCTTTTTTGAGTTAGGGCAAGGACACAGGGGCCCCATGAACACCTATTGCCCGGGGGCCCCATGAGTTGTCAGTCCACCCCTGGTCATGTATGTTCGATTAATTCTCAGTATCTGTTCTTATTCTGTATGTTTGATGCTGCACAGTACCACCTCTCTTGTTTTATATGATAGGTCTAAATCCCAGTATCTACTCTTATTCCTTTATGTGCAGGGACCCTGCTCTATGACGTTGACTCCCTAACTAAAATTGAGTGCGTTGGGTGCTAGGATGTAGTTAGCTTGGGTTCCCCTGCTGGGAAGGTGCTTGCAGTGGTGTATTTTGGTTGTGTGCCACCCTAGGAAGAGCAAAAAGGCCCCCCCTAAGACAGAAAAAAAATGCAGCCCAAGGCAACTGCCTTGTTTGCCTCCTGGTAAATACGCCCTTGTGTGCTTGCATGAAAGGAATTTTGGGCCTTGCATTAGTCTGAGGCATGTTCTGAAGGCTCGAGAACCAAACTGAAGCTTGACTGTTCACCTGGAGAGAGAGCTGGCCTGGAAAGGATATCCAGATAGAGAAGGATTCTTTGCCCATAGACTCAGATACCTTTGTCAGCTCACTGGGGGGTCAATAAATCAGATTAAGGGGAGAGAAAGACAGTGCCTGCTTGCACAGGTTTAAAGACTGGTTTTGATGCTCTCTCGCTACCAGCATTGGCCTGAAGGTCATCTTTAGTGGAACTATTTAATTCATCTTTATTGTAGCGGTACCCCAACCCCCCCCCCCCCCCCCCCCCCCCCCCCCCCTTAGGAGCCAGAACTTTGATAGGTCCATGAGGTCTTTTCCTGAATTTACCTGCAGCCAGGCACATTAAACAGTCCAGGGAAGTTATTTTTGGTGTTTTTATTTTTAGGGGTTTTTGTATAAAGATGGGGATGAACTATGTAAAAGGATGAGGACACTAAACTTCCTTCTGCAGAACTGTAAGCAAAGTCCTTACAGGGGCAGGTCGTGGACTTGAAGTTGATGCCGAAAAAGGCACAAAGCTTCTTTCTTTGAGCAGAGTCCATTCACACAGAACTAGATGGACTGAGCTCTTCAGGATACTAGCTGGTATCTCCTCAGCACACACAGCTGACTGTCTATCACTAGAAGGGGTGGCAGCAACCCATGTCCTCAGATGAATGGATGCTCTTGTGGGACTCATGCACCTTTCCAGACCATGGACCATTGTTGGTCATGATATACCCAGGGGCAGACTGACAACTCATGTGCCCCCGGGCAATAGGGGATCATGGGGCCCCTGTGTCCTCACCCACACTCAAACCACACCCAAAAAAGCCTATGAAAGGTACCAGGAGCATCTCATGGGGCCCCCTACTGACCCCGGGCCCTCGGCAATGCCCAAGTACCCGAATGGTCAGTCCGCCCCTGGATATACCTATTTGTCGTTTGTGAGTATACACCTACTATTTTTTACAATTACAGTATATATTGAGGTAATGCGCAAGGCCTGTGCTCCCCTTTTCTTTTCTTATTTTCAGGGTTACATGTACTGTAGGCGTCATCTAGGGCGGTGTGTACATGAAAATGTAATCTGCCTAGAAACACAAATTCACAGAAGTCAATTGTGAAGGACGATAGCATGATCAGTTCAGTGTGCAGGAATTGACAAGGACGCAACATTTTTGGTGGGATCAACTGATATTTTCTGTACTTACCTCCATTGTGATGAGGGAAGTCTCTCCTCTGATGTTCAGATAATTTCACTTGTCCTGAGCAGAGATTTCATTTGCTGTTCCGTTGGCAGATCAAATTTCCCGCTTCCACAGGAGTATCATGGACGTTTCGCTGTCGTGCAGCCAATGGAAACAAGGAAAAGTAAATAAAAAATGAAATAACAATGTGGAAGGTGATCCATGCACTATCCCTATAGTGAATCCGCTCGCTCACTCCACCAGGGGTGCAAAATACAGGGAAAAGGGGAAGAGCTGCTCAACATTGCTCAAAAACCACAACCTCCCATCTGTTTCCTGACACGACTTGCACCTAATCATTCTTTTGCACAATTTTAAGGCAATAATAACTTTCAATGGCAAACCGAGTTTCTCCAGCACCTTAACTCAATAAAAAGTTCATGGAAAACAAACAGCCACACTCCGATGAGGTCAGGTCTTTGCACCCAACTTTATGGAACCAAAATAAAGCGCACTTCAGCCCCATCCAGGACCACCCTACTCTAACATGTTTCACCTTTGTGTGGGTCTAATCCTCCCTTCCAAAATAGAAGAGAGAACACACACTAAAAATATAATATTACTCACAAAGACGGGTAATAACTATGAAAGCACAATCTCCCAAATGGCAAAAATCCACTGGAAGCTGAGACACACTCAACCAAAGGTTAAGTCTTGGTTCACACTACTGCGACCTGAAAGTTTGCTCGACTTACGGTACTAGGTACTACTTTGCCAGGCGACTTCCTGGCGACTTGATGCGTACTACTTTGATGCGACTTTGAAGTGACTTTCAGGGAATGCTGGGTAATCGTCCTGTAATTTCAGATCCAAATCACATCAATATAGATGAAGATCCGACTTGGAGGCGACTTCCATTAAAGTCTATGGGCACAAGTCAGATAGAAGTCACCTTGAAGTAGTACGGGAACCTTTTCTAAAAGTCGGAGCGACTTCAGTAGTGGTAATTAGGACAGTTCTCATTGACTAACATGGGATTTCACATATCATGCGACTTGGGGTCTCACAATTCAGATCCCAAGTCGCGGGAGTGTGAACTGAGCCTAATAGTTTGCTGTGTTGATGGTCCAATATGACATCACTGTCTAGCTCTCATAGTCAATGTGTTTTGAACAGGGGCAGACTGACAACTCAAGGGGCCCCCGGGCAATAGGGGATCATGTGGCCCCTGTGTCCTTGCCCAAACTCAAAAAAGCCTATGAAAAAGGTACCAGGGGCATCTCATGGGGCCCCCTACTGACCCCGGGCCCTTGAGCAGTGCCTGGGTTTCCAAATTGTCAGTCCGCCCCTGGTTTTGAAGGTCTGTTGGATCCAGACAGTGGTGTCATCTTGGACCTTTAACAACATGGGTTCCATGGTTGGGTGTCGGCCTCAAGAGGATTTTTACCATTTCGAAAATTGTTCTTTAACCTCCATAGCGGTATTCTCGAGTGTAGCTCGGGGTAAAATTTCAGTAGCACAAGCGGTAACCCTGAGCTACACTCCGGCTTACCATGCGGCGTTGCTCAGGGAGTCCCTGCAGCACTTACCTTGTCCTTCGCTCCCGCGATGTGTCCCCTGCAGCGTCCCCGGCCATCTCCTCCGGCCGATGCCGGCATCCGGCTTCTGTTTCCGGTCCCTGTGACGTCGGGACGTACGGGGCGCCGGAACCGGCGGCAAATTTGAAATTTTTTAAAAAATGTCATTTTTTTAAAAATGATTATTACATAGTAAAACATTGCTGTTTCAATGCATTTCACATACATTTTGTCCCGAGTGCTTTGTCCGGCGCCCTGCCTGCATTTTTACTGTTCTTTCTGCCTGGAAACTTAGAAACGTCCATGGCGTCCAAAAAGCGTCCCTTTAGGTCAAAAGCGGTTTTAGAGCGGCTAGAGAACAGCGATAGTAAATCAGAACCACTTGCAGAATTGAGTGATAATGATTCGTGGGGGAAATTCCTCATCAGACACTGAAAACGATTTTGCGACTTTGCTCAGCGATGTGCGAATTTGCCTCTGTATTTCAAATTTCAGTGTTTTTGGTTTGATTATATTATTGAATTAAATTTATTATTATTATATTAGTATTTTTTATGATTATTTATTAAATTATAATTTATGATATCGTGTTTCAAGTTTTATCCTACCCGGGATGTTTACTAGACTCTTGTTCGGACAGATTTCAGTGAGTTATTCCTAAAAATTACAGGCCTACAATAAAAAACGACATATTTCCATGCAAAAAAATGTACCGCTTTGAGCACAAAAAATCAGAAAGAATCATACCGCCAGGGAGGTTAATGCCTATTGCCCTCTGTGTTTGTGAGTAATGTTTTATTACAATAAAAATGCTGTTTTTATTACTCAAGGGTGCATGTTGTTACGCAATTCCCAATGCTGTGGCATCTCATGGTTTTATTTGATTTATTCTCCACTTTTGTGAGTATTCATTTGGCATCATTTTTATTATACGAACTATAGATGATTGGTAATGCACTAGGCATTTGCGCCCTCCTGTTTGTTAGGCTCCACGCACACGGGACGTTTTAATAATGCTGGTAACGTTAGCTATGTAAAGTCATGTTAAAAAGCTGAGTTTTTTAGCACTTAGCTGCGTTTTGCCACGTTTAGTGGCTTTTTTCAACGTTTGTGGTTTTTAGCGGGTTTTTATAAAAAAAAAAATTGGTGGGTGAAAAAAAAAGTCCAAAAATGCCAGTTTTCAGCATTTTACCACTTTATTTAGCGTTTTTGTATTAGTGTTCAGCTGTGTTTTTTCAAGTTTTTTAGTATTTTTTAGATTTTTTTTAACCAAAAAAAATATTTTTTTTTGCTCAAAAAAAGTCCAAAAACGCTGGTTTGCCACGATTTACCATGTTTTACTGTGTTTTGCAGCGTTAGAACATTTTTACAGCTAAAAAACTCCAGTAGAAACCCGCTAGTCCTGGGTTTTTTTTTTCTGGCCAGAAAACACACCCTGCCAAAAAAATGTTGATTCCAGTCTATGTGTGTATGGACACATAGTGGACTAGGATGTGGGTATGGACACATAGGATAACATGCCGGGGATGGACACATAGGATAACATGCCGGGGATGGACACATAGGGGATGGACACATAGGATGCTGGGGAACACATAGGATAAAACGCCGGGGATGGACACATAGGATAACATGCCGGGGATGGACACATAGGATAACATGCTGGGATGGACACATAGGATAACACGCCGGGGATGGACACATAGGAGAACATGCCGGGGATGGACACATAGGATAACATGGCGGGGATGGACACGTAGGATAACACGCCGGGGATGGACACATAGGAGAACATGCTGGGGATGGACACATAGGATAACATGCCGGGGATGGACACATAGGAGAACATGCCGGGGATGGACACATAGGGGATAACACATGCCGGGGATGGACACATAGGAGAACATGCCGGGGATGGACACATAGGATAACATGCCGGGATGGACACATAGGATAACATGCCGGGGATGGACACATAAGATAACACGCTGGGGATGGACACATAGGATAACATGCCGGGGATGGACACATAGGATGACACATAGGAGAACACGGGGATGGACACATAGGATAACATGCCGGGGGACACATGGATAACATGCCGGGGAGGACACATAGGATAACATGCCGGGGATGGACACATAGGATAACATACCGGGGATGGACACACAGGATAATACGCCGGGGATGGACACACAGGAGAACATGCCGGGGATGGACACATAGGAGAACATGCCGGGGATGGACATGTAGGATAACACGCCGGGGATGGACACGTAGGATAACATGCCAGGGATGGACACATAGGATAACATGCCGGGGATGGACACATAGGATAACATGCGGGGATGGACACATAGGAGAACATGCCGGGGATGGACACATAGGATAACATGCCGGGGATGGACACATAGGATAACATGCCGGGGATGGACACATAGGATAACATGCCGGGGATGGACACACAGGATAATACGCCGGGGATGGACACACAGGAGAACATAGGATAGGATAACACATGCCGGGGATGGACACAGGAGAACATGCCGGGGATGGACACGTAAGGATGGGGATGGACACATAGGATAACATGCCGGGGATGGACACGTAGGATAACATGCCGGGGATGGACACATAGGATAACATGCCGGGGATGGACACATAGGATAACATGCTGGGGATGGACACGTAGGATAACATGCTGGGGATGGACACGTAGGATAACATGCTGGGGATGGACACATCATAGGATAACATGCCGGGGATGGACACAGGATAACATGCCGGGGGATGGACACATAGGAAAACAGGCCGGGGATGGACACATAGGATAACATGCCGGGGATGGACACATAGGATAACATACCGGGGATGGACCATAGGATAACATGCCGGGGATGGACACATAGGATAACATGCCGGGGATGGACACATAGGATAACATGGGGGGGATGGACACACACAGGATAACATGCCGGGGATGGACACATAGGATAACACGCCGTGGATGGACACACAGGATAACATGCTGGGGATGGACACATAGGATAACATGCTGGGGTAGGATAACATGCTGGGGATGGACACACACAGGATAACATGCCGGGGATGGACACATAGGATAACATGCCGGGGATGGACACATAGGATAACATGCCGGGGATGGACACATAGGATAACATGGGGGGGATGGACACATAGGATAACATGCCGGGGATGGACACATAGGATAACATGCCGGGGATGGACACATGGGGACACACACAGGATAACATGCCGGGGATGGACACATAGGATAACATGCCGGGGATGGACACATAGGATAACATGCCGGGGATGGACACATAGGATAACATGCCGGGGATGGACACATAGGATAACAAGCCGGGGATGGACACATAGGATAACATGCCGGGGATGGACACATAGGATAACATGCCGGGGATGGACACAGGATAACATTTGGAAACTCGGGCACTGCCCGAGGGCCCGGGGTCAGTAGGGGGCCCCATGAGATGCCCGTGGTATCTTTTTCATAGGTTTTTTTGAGTTTGGGCAAGGACACAGGGGCCCCATGATCCCCTATTGCCCGGGGGCCCCATGAGTTGTCAGTCCGCCCCTGGACTTAAGCGAACATATTTTTTTAGTTTTTGATGGAGTGGAGACCAGTTAGGACCCCTGTTACTGAATTGCTTCTATCTGTATCCCTTCATATTCTGTTTGAGGAACCCCCCCACAGAAGTTCTTTCCCATGGGGTATCCTTTCTAAGACCGTTGTCACCAGAACGTTTACCCATTGGAAGATTTCCCCTTGCCTCTTGTTCTGGAGACATTTTTTATCTCACCAACAATAGCCCCCGAGACAAAGAGAGAGGAGGATCTCCTGAGTGACCTACAATCAGTAAAAACCTTCAACTCTTCTCTGCCCCCCCCAAAAAGAAAAAAATTGGCTTTATATACATTTTAAATTTTAGTTGGAAAACAAATTGTGTTCTCACCTTCCTCTGAGAGCGAACTCGTCTTCTGTATCGTTACTTTCACTTCTCCGGAGCTACGTAAATTATTCTGTTGATAGTTTCTATTTCCTGCTCACAACACAGGAAATTCACATTCTGTTGTAATCCAGCCTGAAGGAGCGCAGAAGTAACACGAGACATGAACGTGTAATCTCGTATATCCAGAAAAGTGAGTTCCAGGTGTGGCACTACCTCCCAGGCAGGGGTGGACTGACAACTCATGGGGCCCCCCGGGCAATAGGGGATCATGGGGCCCCTGTGTGTTTGCCCAAACTCAAAGCACACCCATAAAAGCCTATAAAAGGTACCAAGCAGGGCCGGACTGACAACTCATGGGGCCCCCGGGCAATAGGGGATCATGGGGCCCCTGTGTGTTTGCCCAAACTCAAAGCACACCCATAAAAGCCTATAAAAGGTACCAACCAGGGGCGGACTGACAACTCATTGGGCCCCCGGGCAATAGGGGATCATGGGGCCCCTGTGTCCTTGACCAAACTCAAAAAAGCCTATGAAAAAGGTACCAGGGGCATCTCATGGGGCCCCCTACTGACCCCGGGCCCTCGGGCAGTGCTTGAGTTTCCAAATGATCAGTCCGCCCCTGAACTGGTTATACATTGACAGCCATGCAGGTGCATATCCTCAATCGCATACTGTTTGCATTTGGGAACTTGCACCCACACTTGCATGACTGTCAAATAGGAATCAGCAGCTGTGTCCGCGCAGCCACTGCATCCCAGTAGACATGCATGAGACGAGGATACATGGAGCACTGCAGCACCTTTGTTGCAGACTTTTACCTGCTTCTGTTCTGTAGATACTGACATGGCCTGTTTTGGCGCAGCTCATAAAATCTATCAACACAGATGCTGAATTGAAGTTCTGCTTTATTCTATAGTACAGTGAGAGGTGATCAGATGTTCAGGGTTTTCATAACACCGCATACCTTTATATGTAAAATATCAAAGATTAATTTATCATTTCAGTAAACATGAACAAAATCAAATTATCTGCAATTAATTTTTTGGATGAGACATTATAGTTTAATTTTTTTTTTCCATATTTTATATAAATAAATGTTCGGAAACGTTTATTCTAACTATATGCGAACCCTCGCCTTGTGAAACAACCCATTCAATTTAAAATAGAAATAAAAGGCAAAACATTTGTGTATACCAGTGTTTCTCAACTCCAGTCCTCATGGACCCCCAACAGGTCATGTTTTCAGGATTTCCATTATTTTGCACAGGTGATTTGATCAGTTTCACTGCCTTAGTAATTACCACAGCTGTTTCATCTGAGGGAAATCCTGAAAACATGACCTGTTGGGGGTCCATGAGGACTGGAGTTGAGAAACACTGGTGTATATACATAAATATAAAAAAAAAAGTACAGTACAGCCTTTTTCTAGTGATCACAGCTGCATAGGAAGCTTAGAGAACTGGGAGAGGAGAAACAGCACGACACTGATCTTCCCAATGAATGGTTGTGCGGGGGGGGGGGGGGGGGGTTGTCAGTACAAGTCTGATCAGTGAAGGAGAGCTGGCTGAGTTTCCAGCACAGCTAGAGAACTGACCATGGTGTGTTCTTCTGCTTAGTGTGGTCAGTTTTTGATAGAAAATCAGAAGGACTGGCAGGAACCCCTATGGAGTTAATTTACTAAAGGCAATTAGACTGTGCACTTTGCACAGTGCAATTTCACTCTGCAAGAGCAGTTGCTCCAGAGCTTAGTAAATGAGCATAAGCTCTGCTGACTTCCATCAACCAATCATGTGCAAGCAAAAATGCCCTTATTTATTTTCATTGCATGTGATTGGGTATTCTTGGCAAAGGGAAGCTTCACCTCATTTACTAAGCTCTTGCAGAGTTCACAGTCTATTTGCCAAACTGTCAGCTTTCTGTAGAGGGGAGAAGACCATTGCCTGGCTGTCTTTTGCCCAAACAGGCAGGGGTCCAAGTTGCAAGATTTCCCTTCTCATCAGGAACCTTTCCCTACTGCTAGTTCTGTCCCTACCAGGCTGGGTACATGTCCCTACTCTACCAGTTCGCAAATGTGTGCCAAACCTTGGAGCCAGGGCCTTAAAAAGGCTATGCCTGACCCAAGATGGCTGCCAGAGTCACATGGGGCCCCAGCATCCATTGGCATGGCTTTCCCAGTGACCCAGGAACCATAGAGGAACCCATGGGTTATGACTAAGGCTTGTTAAGCAGAAACTCACCAAGCTTTGCACCTGTGATGTTTTTACTGTGGTTGATTTAATAAAAGGAAGATTTTAGAACAATGGCGGGAGTGCAGATCGATTTCATTTAATTCTGGAACGGATAAGCAACTGTGGATCATGCACCTGCCTAGTTCCTGGGATGAGCATTGGATGGGTAGTAGCACCTTCTTTTCTTTTTTTCAATTGAAGTAATTGGTGAGTACATGTATACTGAATACCCATTCTTGACATTTGCAGATCTCTCCACACATATGAATGTGCAGTGCAGGAAAGAGTGAAAAGCCTTCCACACTCAGATCACTTTTCAGAAGCTTTTGACAGGTGGTGAGGTGGCAATATGTCACATCCTCAACCACATGCATTACAGGCAGATGCAGCGCAGTGGTAGCACAACCCTTTTCACTTGGATAGGTCATGTTCAGTGGGTGGTAATGTCCGTAGACCCATGACAGGGGGTATAATTACTGACGCAACCCCAAAGCATCTCAACTTCAGCATATGTACACCTCTAGCCACTGCCCTGTCAGCTAAATCACGGCTCAACCTGTCAGGGATCCCCTTGATCCCTGCCGCGATGGTCCCGGCGCAGGCGCACTGCTCCGCCCTGTACACGGGCACTAGG